CCCGGGCTGGCTTTGAACCACGATCCTCAGATCTCAGCCTCCTGAGTAGCTAGGATTACAGGCATAAGCCACTGGTGCCTGGCTATCTAATTTTTTATGTAAACTCATTAAATCCAAAAAGGAAAAAAAAGTCAATATAAAAACAAAAAGGCACATGCATGGTAGGTGTCAACCATGCGTACTGATTGAAGGCACCTACATGTTGGGTATCAGTGTGCACGCAGGCCTACCTGTCAAAGTGCTGCTTCATTTGCTTGCATGCGTAGTAATTTCCGTCTTTTAGGCTCTGCATCTTCATAACTTCAGAAAATGTTCCCTCTCCTATTTTGCCAATTGCTTTATAGTCTACAATTTAAAATAATTAGAAAAAAGGTTGATATATTTTATATCACTTCCCATCAAGTGATGATATATTTGATATCATTTCGCAGCATATGCTAAGCACGGTTCTCTGGTTCACTGTCTTCCCATAAGGAGAAGCCATGTTGCATAGCACCCCAAAGATCCCTGCTTGCCCCCCTACCCTCCTGCCGCTCTGCTTAAGTAGGAACCACCCCACTGGACTCTGGCCGGCGATGACAGGCCCAGCCACCACGCAGTGGCTGGCGAGGGCAGGGCCTCAGCTGTGGCACTAGGTACGTGCCACACGGCCACCGGAAGCCTCTGAGCATCTGCCATCTTCACCCCTGTCCCACAGAGCACCCACTCAGCAACGGCTGCCTGCAAGTCTCACAGGCCTCACTTTCTGAAAGTGGCGTGGCTTGGCCACCACCATCACCCGGGCCGCAAGCCTCCAGTTCCCTCCTCCCGGTGAAGGGACATCCAGACAACGACGGGCACAGGGGAGAAGGGCGCCTTGCTACCCGGAAGCGGCAGGCGTGGAGAGCCCTGCCAGCAAAAGTCCTGTGGGCGCATAGATTCCATACCCCAAAGAATAGGAGAAGAAACAGCAGAACACGATGGCAGAGAGTGGGCCCGTGCGCCTTCCAGTGGAAGGTGTGGCCCCGCAAGGCTGGGGAGACTCGGTGGCAGAGCGCTGGGTAGCATGTCAAGGTCCCCAGTTCAAGAGGGAAGAGCAGGGCTGAGGGAGGGGTGGACTGCTGTAGGACTCGGGCGGGTGGGGGGGAGCTGAGCAGATGGCTAGGTTAGGGAAAGTCAGATGTAAGCTGTACAGGTGGAAGCCAGCCTGGAGCACTCGCACAGGCAGCGCTGAGATGCTTCCCAGCCCCGGCCGCGCTGCATCCTCGAGACAATGAAGTCCTAAAGCCAGGAAAGGATGATTTTCTGGTGAATCTTGAAAATAACCTGGCCAGTCCTGGCTCTGGACCTCTCGCTCTTCAGTCCTACGGCACTCGCACGTCCTCACAAATGGCTAGGGAACAGGTTGGGCAAATGTTTGCGTCTCCTCCAAAGTCAACACTGAGGAAAGCTCAGCGGGCCCCGTGCCTTTGCTAGGCTCTGCCTGACTTACATAGTACCCGGCCAAGGGATGGCCGCCGGCACCACCGGGGAACAACACCACACTTCCCCTTCGACTTGGCAGTATCCTCAGTCCAGGAGGACTGAGATCAGTCTGTGGGGGCTGGGAACGTGGCTCAGTGGTAGAGTGCTTGCCTAGCATGCATGAAGCTGGGTTCGATTCCTCACTACCACATTAAAAGAAAGAAAAAAAGAAAAGGCCAGATGTGGCTCAAGTGTAAAAAAAGTTCAGGGACAGCACCCAGGCCCTGAGTTCAAGCCCTGGGACTGGCAAAAAAAGAGGTCATTCTGTGTGCAGACTGGCATCCAGAGTAGGCCAGACGCGGCCCTGCCTGGAAAAGTCCATTTGCAGATCAGTGGCTGTGGCTGGTGGCTAGCAGCATGTATTTCAGGACTTTCCAGCACTTCCTCTGTGGTGAGGAGCGGCCCACCGTCCCCGAGCGGCCTGTGAGGCCAGGCACGTCTGCTGCCACTCCAGGCAGAGAGCGCTGCCTTGGCGGCTTCCCTGGGGAGTGAGGAGCCGACCTGGCAGGACTGCAAGCACTCTCTGCCTCATTCCTTCTGGACTTCGCCCTAGGCTGACCAGGCTGGATCCTTCCATCACAGTAAGTCCCACAGAGACGAGCACAACTGTATGCTCAGTCCCAGCAGTCCTGGCCCGTGGTGCCTCTACGATAGCCTAAACAAACGAAACGCCCATGGTAACTGGCTAACCCCCGTGGCTGCGGCTAAAGCTGGGCTAGAACCAGGCACTGCGCCAAGCACTGCCAACGTGCACTGGTGACTCCAAACACACCCACTCCCCTCATTTTAGGTCCTTTCCTCATAAAAGAAAAGGGGTTAGCCAAATGCTGTCATCCTAGATACTCAGGAGGAGATCTGCCGATCATGGCTCAAAGCTGCCCAGGCAGGAGAGTCCATAAGACTTTTTTTTTTTTTTTGGCCAGTCATGGGGCTTGACATCTGGGCCTGAACAATGTCCCTCAGCTCTTCAGCTCAAGGCTAGAGCTCTACCACTTGAGCCACAGCACCACATCCAGTTTTCTGAGTGGTTTATTGGAGGTAAGTCTCACAGACTTTCCTGCCTGGGCTGGCTTTGAACCTCGATCCTCAGATCTCAGCCTCCTGAGTAGCTAGAATTACAGGAGTGAGCCACTCTTATCTCCAATGAAGCGCCAGAAAATCAGAAGTGGCTCTGTGGCTCAAAGTGGCAGAACTCTAGCCTTGAGCAAAAGAGCTCAGTGACAGTGCTCAGATCCTGAGTTCAAGCCCCATGATCAACAACAAAAAAAAAAAGAAAGAAAGAAAGAAAAAGAGGTTAGAGAGAACCGTTAGATAATATTAGATGATACTGTGTTTAGATTATATTAAGGGTCCACTCACTAAGTGTGTAATGCAGTGTGTAATACATGCACACTAATGATGCTCTGGATTCCGGTCTAAAAGGATAGACCTGGTACACCTTTGGACACGTCTCCCCTCTTGTGTGGATGCCCATCCTCTGTTAGCAAACTGCTCCCGTTTTGTTGCTCCTCTCCCCACGGCCAAAAGATTCTTGGGAAGATGTCTGTTCTCACTTGCGCCCCGGACAACTTGATAAGTGATTCAAGGTGACAGGTCAGGCTCCTCATCTCATGACTCTACGCAGGGGTCCAGCACTGTTACCTGGACAAAACCCTTTCTCCATGTCCATCTATTAAAAGGCTGGACATGTCCCACCACACAGAGCGACCACTCCCTTCATCTCCCAGGTCAGACCATCTCTAGAAATCATGTGATCCTGGATCACAAACTGCCCAAGACAGTTTTTTTTCCTAATTATATGCTGTGAAATTAAGCATAGGTGATTCATTCATAGCTAATTTCACATTCCAGGAAACACAAAAATAAACAAAGCCACAGAATGCTTACCTTGAATGCCCAAAGGCCCAAATAATTTTTTCAAACAAAGTTCATTCTAAGTAGCTTATCATACGTCCTGTGTCTTTTTTTTTAGTGCTAGGGATGGAACCTAGGACCTCACACACGCTAAATAAGCATGCTACCACTGAGCCACACCCCCAACCCAACGTACCATTTTTTCAAATTAATTTTTAAATTTAAAGAAAAAAATGTGGAGACTAAATAGAGAACTCCTACCTACCCCGCACCTGCTTCCTCTATTATTAGCATCTTCTACATGGCCCCTTTGCCATGATTAACAAGTCACCTTTGGTGGATTATTATTTAACATTTTTTTTTTTTGTCTGTCATGGGGCCTGAACTCTGGGCCTGAGCGCTGTCCCTCAGCTCTTCAGCTCAAGGCTAGCACCCTACCACTTGAGCCAAAGCACCACTTCCAGCTTTTTCTGCTTATGTGGTGCTGAGGAATCGAACCCAGGGCCTCATGCATGCAAGGCAAGCGCTCTAGCACTGAGCCACCTTCCCAGCCCCTGGTGGGTTATTATTAACTAAAGCCCATACTGCATTCAGTTCCTTCATCCTCACTCACTGGGCCATCTCAGGATTCTGTTCAGGACTTTCAGCATTCAAGTCTGGGGGAGTGCCCTTCAAAAGGGCACATATAAAGGTTGCTCCTGGCCACACTACTGCAAGTACTGTGGCTCCTTAGGGGCGGGTCAAACCCGGCATCCTCAGGTGCTTCGGGAGTGGGCTCGTCAGTGCTTTCTTTCCACTTCCTGCTTGAGGTGGCTGAATTCGTTCCAATGATGGGCTCAGCTTAACTGAGGCACAAACAAGTGGGGCTGCCTCATTTTAGCCTTAAACCTCCAGCATCATGAATCAAAATATACCTCTGCAGAGCACCGGCGGCTCATACCTGTCATCCTAGCTAGCCCATGTCAGTCAAAAAAGAAAAAAAAAATTACCAGGTATTTGGTATAGTGCTACAAAGCTCACAGAAACAAAACAGTCAGCATGACTCATTAGGCTGGTTATCCATCTATCTATCTATAGTTATAGTCAGTACCTGGATTTGAACTCAAGGCCTCCTGCTTGCTCAGCTGGTACTCCATCACTTGAGCCGTGCCAGCTTTTTGTTGGTTGTTTGATGGTGATGGAGCCTCCTAGACTGTTCTGCCAGGGCTGGCGTTAAGCCCGATGCTCTGGATCTCAGCCTTCTGAGTAACCAGGATTGCGGACAGGAGTCACCCGCACCAAGCTCTGGACTCCTCTTTTGTCTTAGTTCCCTCGATTTTCCCTGCTTTGGTGACAATGACAGTTATCACTTGAGCAGAAGTCAAGTGTTTGCAGAACACCCTCTGTTAGAATCACCTACTTTTTTCCTTGTCATCAGAGCACCTGTTATCAACGAGGCATAGCTGCCAGAGCCCGCCAGGGTCCCAAGGCCACTATTCCATACCTTCCTCTGGAAGGCCCTCACTGCACAGCTCCTCTCAAGAGTGAGGTGCTGCCCGGGGCTGGTGGCTCACGCCTGTAACCCTAGCTACTTAGGAGGCTGACTGAGATCTGAGGATTGTGGCTCAAAGCCAGCCTGGGCAGGAAAGTCCATAAGACTCTTATCTCCAATTAACCAACAGAAAAACTATAAGTGATTCTGTGGCTCAAGTGGTAGAGCGCTCGCTTTAAGCTGATGAGCTGAGGGACAGTACTCAGGCTCAGAGTTCATGCCCCACAACCAACCAAAACAAAACAAGTTACTACAGCTAGGGGCCAGGAACTCATGCCTGTAATCCTAGCTACTCAGGAGGCTGAGATCTGAAGATCACAGTTCAAACCCAGCCCAGGCCAAAAAAAAAAGTCCCTGTGAAGGGCTGGGAAGGTGGCTCAGTGGTAGAGTGCTTGCCTTGCATGCATGAGGCCCTGGGTTTGATTCCTCAGCACCACATATGCAGAAAAAGCCAGAA